ACACACACACACACACACATACACACACACACAAACACACACAAACATACACAGGTAGACACATTAAAATTTGTATATACATAAACTCTCTCACACACACAAACACACATGTGCTCCCTTGGAGGTAAAAGAATACAGACATAAAAACACACAACTAAATACACTGTCAACCACCAGTGAAGCCAGAACAGATTTCCTCACTCTACAGAAACACAAATACACAAAAGAAACACACTAAAACACACACACAGAACTGCAGAAACACAAAATCATAGACATAACCACACAGCAACTGACCTTCTTTCCCTGTCCCACTGTCCACTTCCAAAGGCTCCAGTTTCAAATCCAGACTGTCCAAAGACTTGGACTCCGCAGACACCGCTGGTGCGATGTCACCTTCTGTCACAGCCTCTGTGCCGGTCAAATCGGCGCTGGACACAGACTGGCTGTCGGTGCCCGAGGGGTCATTGGGATGGGCCGAGGGCAGCTCCAGGCTGTGCACAGACCCACTGTCCTCCTTGCTTTCTTTCACTGATGAGAAAGAGATATGTAGTGTGTTCAGACGGTCCTCAAACGGACAGACAAGGTCACCAACGAGAAAGTGTTCAGAAAAACGACTGTCAGGAAGAAAAGGCTGGATTAGAATCCACAAGGTACAAGATCAAGGGGCAAGCCGTGTAGAACCTGGAGAACAATCACAGAAATTGATGTACAGAAAAGTGGGAAGACATGGAATAACATCAAGAGGCTACCCAAGGATAAAGAAAGGTGGAGAGTGTTCGTTCGTGGCCTAAACCCTGATGCCGGGTACTTTACTTCTTTACTTTACTTTTCCGATCCAGCCGCCATTTGGGTCCTAGCCCTTCAGTCTGACGATATGGCAAAGAATTTACAGGTATTAATCAGCTGTGCTTGTATGCCGGGTAAGAAAGGCAATGATGATGGTCCACCTCACTTTGGTTTTTGTTCTTTTTTGAAACAGTTAAATATTGTACGAAACATGCACAGTTCAATTAGAAAGTGAGCCTCACTCTATGCAGTTCCGAGGGTCTATTTGTTTCTATGCTGGACCTTCTTTCGAAAGATTGAAGATAAGGTACAAAGAAAAGATGTCACCCCCACATCAGAGAGGTTGTGGTGTATAAGCGTCTACCCCAACAGTGGGAAGCTGCTCTTGTGAATGTGACAGTGGTTTATATTTATCTCCTTACCATTAACTGATTGCAAAAGCAGTTGCCTAGCAGGAAAGTTGAAACAGGAATCCAAAGAGGCCCTTTTGGGGGTTTTTTTTGTCCTTCCTGGAATATTTCCTTCATTGTCTTTTTATATCACGGGACAAAACGCCTCATCATCCAATTGACCTGGTATTGTTTGATTATGTCACTTAATTTAAACAATGAAAAAGAAAATTAAAACAAAAACAGACATGAGGTTTCATCCCAGGAAAATTAACTACAAAAAAATATAATGGAGAAAAAAAGTACCATTTGTATTAATCCTTGTGGGGAAAATTGTGTCACATTGGCATATAAAGATAAAAAATTTCTCAAATTACCACATGGCTCATAATTGTGATTCGTAAGACAACACCACGAAGCACATCCCAAGCCAGTTAAACCAACCAACTATTGCTTGTCTCCACAATAGAGCCCCCGCTTTCGAGCTATGGTTGTCATCATGTCTTGCTGAAGAACACATTCCAGTGACCACCCATTTATAAACTGTGTCATCGACACTGCTTGGCACTGTTTGTGAGCTTGGGTTCACTGACCACTTTATGAATGGAGCCCCCTTTCCTCAAATTGTCAACAACCATTGCGGGTAACTTTATACCTTGCAAACAAAAATTTGCATGGACTTATCAATTCAACATAGAGTAACTAATGTGGATAGGTAGGCCTGTATGCAGAGCTCCACCTGTTCAGGGAATTTAGCAGCTTTGTTCCCTGTGATTAAGCCTGGGAGACTGTTGTGGTTATAGTCTCTTTTATTTTAGTAAAATATTTGCAGCACTTGCAACACAATTAGGTCACATAAGTGCCAAAGATTAGAGATTTTGCAAGGAAGAAACAAACATAAAAAAGAAGCGATAAGGATGATACAAGTTTGATAGGACATACGGCGAAAACCACACCAGAGCATCCATCAACCACCCATTACAGTCTCCCCAGGAAGGTCAAATCTCCAAATAGTACTCACAGCAAGAGTGACTCATATTGTGCATTGTATTACAATAACTTTCAAGAATTCAGCTTGGACCTTCTTAATTAAATAATAAATCAAAGTTACAATGAAGAGCAAACATTTCAGTCCATTGTTAGTTTTCTGAAGCCAAGTCGTAGTACACAGCAAGTCAGCAAAATAATGGCCACTTCTAGCCATGGACAGGCTTCAGTTTAAAGTGACAGAATGTATTTGTAGTCATGTGATTCCCCTAAAGGCTCACACAACTTTGAAATTACAGACTCAGCTAGCATGTTCATTTCACATCAATGGGACATACTTCATTGCAACCTGTCAGGAGCATTCAAATATAATTTACAATTAATTTGGACAAGAGTAACACTGAAAAGATGTACAAGGAGAGCCCTGTACCATCTGTTTTGGGAAAGAGAGGTACATGGACATAAGACGGACTATTTAGTGTGGGGGGAAAGTATGACAGACAGACATTAACAACCGAGGGAAAGAAAAGAAAAAGGACTATAATGATACCCTCCAACAACACACAACCCCGTATCAGTGCTCCCATACGATTACTTACCCTATTGAGAGACTGTAGAGATATTAACACATTAAAATCATGCCCATTACAAGATAAGAGATAAAATAAGCCCTGACCTTTGTTCACTCCGGAAGCACGACTGTACACATGTCCAGCCTGTGTCAGGCCAAACGGACTGTAGGTGGTGGTTGGCGGGGGGCGCTGAAGGATGTCATCAAGATCGTAGCCGCGGGAGAAAGCGTGTTCGTCTTCGTCATCGTCCTGACCAAAGTCCATGGGAGGGGGTCCCATGTCGTCATCAAAGTCTGAGGAGAGACGCTTTCCATGCGCACCCAGGCTGGGACGGCTGCCACTCCCATTTCTGGAGACAAACACGGGAATCAAAACTTACAAATGCAGGGGAGGCGCATGGGGTGGGGGATGTTTGTCTATCATGTATTTCTTTCCCTGTGAGTTAATTCCATGAGACAAAATAGCAAACCTAAAAACAAACGTTTTGATACTTCGTTAGTTTTGAGTAAAGAGAAACACATCCACATAATAACAGTCATGTAAGGTAGAGAAAGAGTAAGAAGGACAGACAGAAATAAAATAGGGAGAGAAAAGTAGAACTTACCAGAAGCCCCCTATCGACAAAAATAATAATGAAAAGAGCAACAGCCGTAACGAATTTATCAAGGTATATTTCTTTCCACTGCAAATAAAAGACACAACAAATAAATCAGTAGCGTCATTCGTAAAGTAGTGAAAAAGGTGAAATGGTATAGCTTTAATGCCCTTATCAATGCTAACAGATAGTTTAAGAGGCGGGACCTCCGACTCTAACGTCAATCTCCAAAAGGACAGAGCCAAACAAGAATTTCGTGTAAAGTGTGTAAAGTGCCTTTCCCAAGGACATAACGTAGGACCGAGCTGAGGCTCAAACCCCCAAACCCGCAATCTCATGGTTACGGGTCCGGTAGCCTAATCACTAGGTTACTGACACCACGTAAAGGAGTCAACTACAAAGGAGATCATGAGATAGGAAAAAACTCAAGACTTAATCTCCGTACTTCTACTATTCAAAGAAAACGCAAAACTTTTCACATGCATTTCTTCCACTTCAAGAATAAGAATAATCTAATCATGACTTAGAGCATTATATTACCACATGTTTGTTTAAGTGAAGAGAAGCACATTGACACAATACCAGTCATTTAGTGCTGGGAAAGAGTAAGACAGACAGACAAAAGAAAGGTAACAAAGAATTAGAACCTAGTAGAAGCACCCTCCCAAACACCTTTGCATTGCATTCTGTGATCAAACATTTTCTGAATTCCTTCATTTGGTTTGTTGTTCGTTTTTTTAGGGGGGGGGTATTGTTCTGTTTTGTCCTTCTAACTTGACCCGGTTTGGCCCCACACCATCGACCTCTGAACACGCTTACCTTTGCCCTGTAAGACCAGAATTAGCTGTGGCGGCCGTTGGTGTTGTCTGAGTGGGTAGCTGGTAGCTGGACAGCGTTGCCGCGTCCTCCCTGACCTTGAAGAGACCTAAGATCTCGCTGGTCCCCAGGTTCTGCTTCTTGATGGTAACCATGTGGGCAGACCCACCTCCACCAGGCCCCTCACCTTCTCCCACATCGGTGGACCCAGCATCGCCCACACCAGCAGTGCTAAAGTCACACCTGAACAAACATTGAAAAAGATCATGCTTTGTTTCCCAGTTTCATTAGTTGACTTTACTTTCAGGGAGCCATCTGAACTAAATAAGAATGATCCCAGAATTTGAAAATTGTTCAAGTCTCCAACAAGCCTGCACAAGTACAAAGACTTGGCTTTACTTTGTATTCACCTTCCATATTTCTTTAAAAAAACATCTCATGTTGCCCATTTCAAAACAAACACTATATTTCCATACTAACAGAAGAGAAGGACAGCGACACTGAATATCAATAGAAGCAGATCACACAAAAACACCCACCAACCACTTACATTTATCAAGCTTGACAAAACAACATCAAAACAAAAGAAAACCATCAACAGTCATCTCTTATATCTGTTTGTATGACTTGAAAAAAAAAAAGCATATAATGTTGAGGTAGCACAAAACACAAGACATAAACTAAAATGAGAAAAAGGAGCCACCAAAAGCACCCTCTGATGACCTTTTATTGAATTGAGAACACATTAAAACAATTTATATAAACCCACTGAGAAGACATTGAACAGTAGTGTACTGCAAGATGGCATAACAAGGGCCACCTTTAACAAGGAGCAGATTGAAGCAATAGGAACCCATGAAAGAAGTCAAAGAAGGAGTAATCTAAAAGAGACAGCCCACCAACCACCTGCAGACATCACGAGGCCACACATATTCCTTTCCACAAACCAGTGGTGTTGCATTTATGCCCTTCGCCATCAAAAACAGAAAACTTCAGTTTGATTACTATGTAGGGAGCATTTTCATCAAGTAGCTCAGTCTTTCTGCTGGGCGTTGTCTCCCTCTCAGCTTGGGTTGGTCCCGACAAGCAAGGTCAAAGCTAGGTTCCTAAGTGATCCAAATTGTGTTATCAGGATGTAAAAACACCTACATTTTAAAAAATGTAAAATTTACCAGTCATCATCGTCCGCCTGAGAGGAACCAGGGTTGTTTGACATCTGTGAAAAGTCGCCCCAACTGTTGTTGTCAGTGACACTGCCAAATGTTGCTGCCATCGACATGTCACCCACACTGGGATTGCTGTTGAGGCCCAGACTTGACGGTGCAGAAAACTGACCCCAGTTGTCTGAACTGTCACCAACGCCTGGAGAAGAGAACGAAATTAGGGGTCACAAGATGACTGCTGATGCCAAGTTGCGGCTCCTAAACCAGTCAGCAAACATTTACATGGAATGTTAATGGTATTGACAAAACTAATAAAACACACAGATACTCACAATAACGGCTCAATTAATGCAGTAATAATCTAGAAATATAGCTATCCCAAAAAGAAGTTGGAAATACTAAAAACAGAGCCCCTGTCAACCATCTGCATTACAAGACAAAGTTCTGTTGTAAATATTAACAACAAAAACAAAAACAAACAAACAAAAATAAACAAAACATTAAAAACCTACAAAAACCAAGCACTCTTCTTACCGCCAGAGGGAACATTCTTCTCTACAAAACTCCCTTGATGTTTCTGCATGCCCGGGCCACTAAAGTCAGACCAATCGCCATCCTCCTTCTGCAGATTGGTCACCCAAAGAGAGGTGGAGGTAGTCGCGTCACCACTAGGCAGAGAGCTGGAAGGGGTCGAGTCTCCAAAGATAGAGGCATCCAGACCATGGGATGTTGCAGCAGATGGCGTCTGGGAGAGGCTTGCATCATCACCAAACAGGGATCCTGCAGAGTGACAGATCAGGAACTGCAGGCACAAGTGATGTTGGATGTGGACTTCTTTTATTGCACTATTCTATCAACCCTGTTTGATACAGTGAGTCGTGGCTACATAAATAATTCTTCAAAGAAGGGTATTTCAAGTACAAAAAATACAGAAAAAAGCAGCTGGCTAGCTGATGAAAGAGATTGGGATGTCATGCTCTTGAAGAAAACAATCAAGAAAGTATAAAAGCAGCACTTTGGGCAGAGAGAAACAGAAACAGAGAAAGAATGAGACAGAGGAAGAGAAAGAAAAAGACGGAGCAAAAGAGAGAGAAACAGAGAGAGACTGAGAGAAACAGAAGCATAGCAACAGAGAGAAAAATACGCATAGTGACAGAGAGACAAAATATGATGATGTGAAGACAGACAACCCACCACTCTTACTGCCTCCAGCACTGGAGAGGTCCCCTGAGGTGAGACTGGCCAGAGTGCCACTCCCACTGCCCGTCATGCCAGCACTGAACAGCTTGAGGATGTCCCCCTTGTTACTCCCAACGCGTGTCGCATTTGTCGTGCTCGAGGGCACCGTTGTGGTTGCAGCGGGGTCAGATGACACGCCTGCTGGCACACTAGCCGGGAAGCTCACCTCAGAGCCAACAGCCGAGCCACTAGCGGCCGGGGCTTCTGCAAAATCTGCCCAGTCATCCCCATCAGCATTCTCTGCACTTGCATCCTCGTTCGGCATTGCCGTCTCCCCTAAGGCAGGATCAGAGGGACCTTGACCTTTCTCAAACAAAGAGGGCTGAGGGGAGTCAAGGGTGAGTACGCGGAGAGCTCCGTACTTGTCTTCCTCCCCAATGAGAGAAACTTCTCCCGCAGGTGCTGAAGACACTGGACCACTCCCGGCCAGCTCCGACGCCGACTTGAAATCGGCAAAGTCTTCATCGCTATTCTGATTCTTGTTCATGTTCAGAACTGGCATACTGGAAGGGACTGTCATGGGTTTACTGGAAGACATCGGGGCACTTTTAAAATCATCAAACTCAGGACTGGCCGACAACTGTGCGGATGGCTCATGACCCAAGCTGCCGAATCCAGCCCTGCCACCTGACTGGCCCTGGGGGGGACTAAGCACACCAGGAGAAGACACACCAATGGCAGTTGTTCCTACCGGGGGCCCTGGTATACCCACAGCGACAGACCCAGAAGGTACTGGAAGCTTCATCGCGCCGGACGGCTTGGCATTTCTACCAGCCGCTGCGTTTGCAGGAACAGTAGGAAAGGGGCAGTGTAGGGGACTTCCATCGGTACTTTCTTTCTTGCGGTTAAACTCTTCAACATAGTTCTCAAAGTTGCGTATATCTTCGTTCTCCGACTGTTCCGATGTTGACACCTGGCTGAGGCTGTCACGCCCATCTGTGAAGTCATCATCCTCAAAGCTCGGAGATGTGTGTCCTGTGAGGTGAACACAGAATGTATACCTTAAGTCAGTCTCACATCAGACTTTAGATTGTCATACACACAAGAAATCCTAGAGCCTTCTTTAGCATCAAATATGAAGTAAAATTATCGTAACCTGCATGTGGAGTCTCATTGCCATTTCTTGTCTGACACAAGTTTCTACAGAACTAAAGGTGTTTCTTAGCAAATGTAAAAGAGAAATATCAGTGGTGTTAAGAATCATTATTATTTACTGTAATATACTCCACCAACCGTCATCAACCCACACTGGGATAAATGCACAAATTACCTTTGAGAACAAAAAAATACACACAGGAAGTCCACATGGCAGGGAAATAAAAAATTTCCAAGGAAATGAACGATCTAAATGTAAAATATTTATAGGATGTTTCTTAAAATCTTTCCATTTTTGCAACAGAAATACTTAAGACCATCTGGATACTCAAAACTATCTTTAAAAATTTTAAATTTCAGTCATCAACAAAAACTGAACACTTACTTTTTAAACCATAACTGGAGAACTTTTACCTGAGCTATGTTAAATCAGGATTTTTATTCTTAGGACACTTTTCACTAATATTACTCTATAATTATTTCATCTGAGAAAGCGATCAGGACATTTTAAGTACAAGCCCAGATCATGTTTTTGTAATTTTGTTAAATGGAAACATGACTGACATTTACTATTTAATATCTTCGTCCACAGACAAGCTGTCACAATTGTGCCTGGAGCAAATGTTTGATCCTTGACACAAAGCCTAACCACAAGATGCGGAAGAGAGCGTCCTGTTTCCATAGACTTCAATCCTAAAACATTCCCCTTCATACACATGAAAAATATTTGTCCATTAACCCATAAGTCAGAATTTATCTGACATAGTTCTGGTAGAGGTTTAACGCTGCTCGCAACAGTAGAAGGTCATATGAGAGCCAGAAGATTAGAGGTGCTACAAGAGAGTAACAAACATTTTAAAAAAGAAGGGGATATAAGGACGATAGATGTTTGATAGGAAATAAGAAACAAACCACACCAGGGCACCCGCCAACCACCCACTTATCTGACATGTATGAAGAAACTTCCCACAATCAATCTGTACCCTCCCCTTCTTCAACAGTTTAAACAACATCTCCTTGGTCTCATTGACATAAGTCACGTTGTGCTGAGAAAAAGACAAATAGACAGAAAAGTGAGAGAGGTTGTAAAGAAGTAGAACCTATCAGTGGCGCCCACCACAAACCCACAACAGCATCACAAGTAGTTCAACTGTGCACACCTATCTCTACTTGGTACATTTCAGAGAAGTGAACGAATCGTTAACAATCCATTTGCTGAAGAGTTTTGAGAATAAGGAACAGAAACATTTGCTTACTATTAAGTAAAATGGCACTGCGTTTTTAAGTCCAAAACTAGAAATAATCATCATAATCTATATATGTGAAGCGTGCTGACAAAATGAGTTACTTCTCGGTTTCAAGCCTTATGGAAATAGATACATCACCCTTATAAATAGGTGAAGTTTTTACAATTATTGCGAGTATGAAGAAAGGCGTGTTATACATATAAAGAATATAATATGGCATCCATAGAAAATCTACTAATCTGACCCCAATGTCGATTTTTGGCCTATATCTCCATTTGTGGATTGCGAGAAGTTACTTGTTTTGTCAGCACACCTCACATATAGAGAAATCAACAAAAAAGACCTTTAAAAGACTCTACAGCAAACCGACTGTCCGTATTAAAGACAACATGTTGTAGAAAATACTTAACTAGAATTTTAAAAAAGAGTGATAATAACAATTACAACAATAATTATAATTATTTAGTAACAACGATATCAACAACAATAACAATAATAACAATGACAATAATAGCAGCCACAAGAAGAAGAAGCAGAAGAAGAGTAGAAGGAGGTTGAGAAAAAGAAGAAGAAAAGAGATTAACAATTAAACAATTAGTACACAACTAGCAGGAAAGTAAATAAAAGTGAAAACACTAGTAATGGGGTAGACTAGCGACAACAATAGTGCACACAGTAGAATTTTAAAATGTTGCAATAAACAAGGAGCAACAGGGCCCGTGAATCAACACATAGAACTAATTATAAGCAGTGACATTTTGAGGCAAAGAACTAGCTACGGTACTGACTCTACACAGGCTACACTAACTCGGTGAAATGCCCTATCGTTAAATAATAGTGAGGCTCTTTTTTTCTTGAAAAACAACAAAGTAGGAGAGAGCATACACATTGGAGGGCAGTCAGCTTCTTGGAGATTCACTCATGGCCATTTCTGAATAGGTCGATAAGAAAATCTGCTTCCTACATCTCCAGCATTCCAGTCAACACAAACCTTCACAACCGAAACAATTCTTCACTTAATTAAATACTCTATAAGACCGTCATAAACATTCAAGACTTGGGGTCTTTCCATTAAACTGCCCTGTAGTTGTAATGACAGTCTTAAGAAAGCTTTTCAAATTTAGCTATTGCTTCAAAGCAGATGCATCAGTACTGTTTCTGAGGTAGAAATTATTCCTTATTCTTCACCCTCTTCCCTTAACTCCTCCTGAAAGAAAATGTTAACAATTCAAAATAAGCATTATTAGACGGACCGTAAGTACTTCCACAGAGTGCCAACTACTCAAGATAGGCAAGTGAAGGGAAAAGACAGAGTCTCCTTGTGTTACAAACACAGACAGCAGCCAGTAAACAGTGGAACTGGAAAGGGGCAATGGGGTCAATGATGTTGGTTAAACAAAAGAGATCGCTACAGTTTTTAATTTCTTTCTTTTTACTGTTAGTGTTTTTTATGCCCTCATCAACATAATTTAGAACATTTAAGGGGTGGGCTGGAAAGAATACAACATCCCAACAGAAAGGCAGAGATATATAATAAAAATTTTCTCCCTTCTCTGGAATCCAACACTTGTCTTCTGCACGTGACAGCGAAGCACCTAACCGGTACATCACAAACGCCAGTGTTGATACAGTAAAGTTTCTCCTAGTCAAACAGTAAGGTGTTGGACACACAACAAAAATGTTAACATCCTAGGCAAAAAAAAAGAATGTTGGATCCTTAGGGAAGAAATGTTACCCTTTTTTACTGACAAATGTTAAAAAACCGTTGAAAGACAATGGCTTATGTGAAGTGTAGCAGAGTGCACTCAAGAACAGACTAAGACGTATGAGTATTTCTCAGAACTAAGATGGCAGATCGGAATGGACTGGCAGGCCAAGCAGCTACAGTACTAGGAAGGCCTAGTAAGCAAATTTATGCAAGATTTATGTTTCCCATGTGCACGCGCCCTCAATTTTCAGTGATCTGACCTGGCTTAAATTAGATGGCTAAGTGCAAATAGGCTTGCTGGCATTTTATTATCATTCCCTCATTCGTCCCCCCCCCCCCCCCCCCTTATTTTTGTAGTACCCAAACCCCCAAATTTCAGAAGCCATACCCCATAGGAAACACCTTCAGTGAGTGAGCCTTAAGCCACACTTACAAACAAACAACAAGTTTTAGGTAAGCAAGGAGTAATACAATGATGACTAATAATGGTGCACAAATGGATTATGAGGTGCTATGTGGCATTAACCGAAAGAAAGAGAGATGAATGACAAGAGCCACAAATAAAAACCATGAAAATAATATAATGCAACACTTAATGCACAATATAAGCGTGTCATAAAACAGAATGAGGAAGCAAACCAAAAGCAAAACTACAGCATGCATGCAACATAAGCTCAAGAGAGAAAGCACGAACTAGTATAATCATCAAGAAGCAAAGCATGCTGGGTATGTTGCAGAACAAAAGCAAATGTTTGATTACAACAGTCTACATTAAAGGTGAGCAAAACATTTGGTTACAACTAAACAGTAGATACAACAACATGCATGAGACTACAAGTGCCGCTCAGCACCTGAGGTCACATCAGCAGCCAGCGAGAGAGTAGCAAGAGAGCAGGGCTGCCAAGTACACACGAACGTAAATCTGTTGGAGGTGGTCAGGAGAGGTCTAATTGGGGTCGACGTACTGTGTCTCTTGGGTAAACCAAGATGAATTCCCCCCAAATAAAAAGTTCGTGATTTTTGTTGACTAAAACAGCACCACAGATAGATACTTCATATAATCATAGTGTCCTTTTAGGAATATCAATTTTCCTTTAAAACATATTATCATATACATAGAGAAAATACAATTTTGCATGACAAGGTTGACTTATGAGGCACAAGAGTTCTGAATAAGGGACACTTGGCAGCCCACAGAGAGAGAGAGAGAAAGAGAGAGAGACAGAGAGAGAAAGACTTGCCTGTGGAGGAATCACTGCTACAGAAGAAGGAGCGGACATTATTGTTGTACTTGTCCTCGCTGGGGAGGGGCAGGGGCATCATGGGGGGCATGGAGGGAGGCTCGGGGGCTACTGGGGGTGGAGCGGGGTGGTGGTGGGGGTGGTTAGGGACGTGGCCGTTGCCCATCATCACCACACCATTGCCCACATGGGAGTGAGAGGGCAGGTGGGCAGGTTGGTGAACGGGTGGGTGGCCTGGTTGGTGAATGGGTGGGTGGGCGGGCTGGTGGCTGTGGGGTGCGTGGGCCGGGCCGGGATAGGAGAGACCAAAACCACCACCACGAACCGCGATGTTTCCACCACCGATAAATTCCCCAAAGCCGTCATCTGTGCGAGGAGGAGGAGGAGGCATCGCCACACCTTGAGAAGCAACACGCGGCGACACCAGGATGGGAGGAAAATCAGGTTAGGACATGGAGGAAATGACAAACAGAGGAAAAAAAGCAACAAAAAAAAAGGAATTTAACTCTTTCCCGACTATTGTACAATACAGCAAAAAGGCCCAACTTACATTTAGGCAAACATCTTTATGAAAAAGGAGAACTCAGAACTTAATGTAAAGATCTTAGCTGTAGATCTTCTTCTTCTTCTCCAATGTCCCTCCAAATCACGAGCTTGGATAGGCACCCAACTTAGCTGTAGATCAGACCTCCTATATCTAACATCACCGCAGGAGTGTCATAAACTCAGCTCACATTGTTGCCCAAGACAGATACATAAGAGAGGGGTGCAAGTCTTGGCTTTGTGAAACATCTTAGAAAGTTTCAAGACTATGCAAAGACTAGCATTGGACAAAGTTGGTGAAATCAACAAAAACTAGGGTCAGCGGCAGTTCATGGAGTAGAGAGAACATTTCAAACGTTTACTTTCGGGCGGCGAAGTACCCAGTGTTTGGTCTGCAACAGAAACTACCTTGGTCTGGAGACAGTTAAACCACTGAGGCATTTTATTATTCCTAACACATTTATTTCAGTTTCAGTAACAAAGCATCCCCCAGGGAGTATTATATTCCCTGAGAAGTTTCCACTCATTCACCAGCAGGAAGGGCTAGGCCATCAGGACCTTACATGCTCCATCGTTCAGCTAGAGTGGAAACTTCTGCTTACATCTTTGTTACTTTTTTTGTTTAAAAAGAATACATGGAAAATCAGTTCTATTCTTAACTTGGCAAGTTCATTCCTCACACCTATTGGTCAGCTTATGATGTTATCAATCCAGTAGCTCCTAGGCTTTTGCCTTTTTAGCCAAAGGGTTCCAAAGCATATTTATCCTCTCTAACATGGACAGATTTGGGATGGGGAAAAAAAGGAAAAAAGAGTTGAAAAGGATAGGCTGCAGGTCAGAGGCTCAGAGGTCATAAAACAAAATGCAAAAAAAATGGGAACAGTGAAAAAAGTGAAAAAATGTTCTGATTCATTTGATCGCTTTCAAGAGTGTGAAAGTTAGTAAAAGTGCTCTGAAAAAAAAACAAGATTCAGAACAAGTATATTCACAATCAAATATTCTAGAGAAAAGGAGTGCTTTCCCCAATCCCCTACAAATGATAAAAACACGAAAGCTTTTCCCCGGAGTGCAAGCAAAGGTGGAGGCTTAAACTAATGCAAAAGAACCAACAGAAGTAAAATTGTGCTTTTACTCTGTTCTACACAATGATGAGATGACAAAATTTTAAAAACCAAAACAAAATATTGAAAAAAGCTTTAGAAAAAGTCATTATTGCAAATAAGATAAAAAGATTATAGGAGAGAGACGTTCCTGTATAAGAACAGAAACTGAATGAACACATCAAAAAGACTAAACCAGTTCTATAGAACAATTTACTCAAGTCTATATGATTTTAACTATAAAAACAAAAGTACACCAGAAAAGATGCCTAAACCAATCAGAGAGCAAGGGTGCAATTCAAAGTTCATAGATGAGATTGTCATTTATTTCTACTTTTCATAGATCAACTGCGACAAATTTTCATTACTTAAATTAATGTAAACTATCCAAACTTCATGTTAACTATAGATAGAGACAGTTTAGCTAGTTAGGAAAGATCAATTCAACAGTAAAACATGTGTACCAATGGTCCTCATACTCACATAAACAACACAAAATCACTAACTGTTAGAAGATAATAACATGACTGCATCTTCATTCCCTGTGTATACAATTTACGTAGTTGTTACTTTCCAGGCGTAACACCATTCACCCCATAGCTAGTACCTCACACATACACACACCTTATAATACATTGCTTCACAGGTGTCCAAGCTTACAGACGACATCATTCACACCCTAAAAATATTTTCTTTTATAACGAATTTCAAAATGGACAGCCCTTCACAAATGATAGCACTCGGGGGGCATAATGCTGCCTAAAAATTATAGTTTCCCCATATCTATTCAGGAGGGAAAAAATATTAAAGGTTCCATGAGAAATCCCCAAAGTGAATTTGCGACGGATGAAACTGTCTAGAGTGCAGATGCTTAGGAGAGGTTCCACAGCATCAAACCCATCTTTAAGACATATTGTATTGTGTGTTCACTGATGGCAATGAGAGCAACTAATAACAAATGAAAGAAAGAGCAACACAGAAAGTATGAGGAAGCTACATACGCAGTTTTAGAAACCTCCCAGCTCCGCAATGTGAAGACATAAGAAGTATTTGGACCCAATACATACACTAAATTTTTCTTCTTTCACTCATTCCGCTTCATGTTCATGCTACTTTGGAGATGAATTAGTCACACCGACAAAAGCGTACCACTCCCATAGTCAGAGAAACTTGAACAAACTAACAACATGCACATATAACAGATTCATATTTCAGTTATCATCTTGGGTAATACTCTAAAGAAGAAAAAAAAACCAAGCACTTTTACTTAAAGACAGATGTAAAAAGAGTAAATGACTTTTTTACCCTTATCATTTTTAAAGTAACAGCAGCATGATCAGTACAGCGAAACTTTCGTTTACAAAGGGAGAATTTCGATCTTCCCACGCCAAAGTGTTCACAACGACAGTCTCACCTTTGGTCGTTGTGGCAGGAGTGTGCCTCACGGCTGGCGTGGCCACCTGGAAGTCCGCGAAGTCATCCTCCCCAGCGTTTGCAGCAGCACCCGAACTACATGGAGGGGCAGCAGTGGTTGGCAGAGGCTTCATCCCAGAGTGCGTGCTGCTGTTCTGACTGGCTACAACGGGAACAACCGGAGACTGCTGTTGTAGAAGCTGTTGTTGTAGCGGTGGTTGATGTTGCGGGTGTGACTGAAGTGGAGGCTGTTGTGCAACCGTCAGCGGCGACGGCTCAGCATGAGGCTGTGGGTGTGGCTGCTGTTGTTGGGAACTTGTAGGTAAAGTCGCTGGGGCACTCGAGTCTGAAAAGGAAAACTCCACAACTACAAATCCAACCCTGGGAGTAATGAGTCTGAATGAAATCTGTGTGGCACGATCAAAAGTATGACACAGATCTGCACTAAACCCAGAATATTCCATCAGCATCTAAAAAAGATATGTCTGTGAATAAATAAGCTTTTTCACTATTTTCATAGAGCAAAAACTGCACCCTTCACTGCAATAGGAAGCAACTTGTAAAGATCTTCTTTAACTCTGCAACATAGCATTGGGTGGATGGATACAAGCTAAAGGGATGCTGGACTGACAGCTTTCTTGCTTGCAGTAGATATACCAGCTTTTGGTTTCACAAGATGACCACGTGGCCACAAAGAAGAAAAAAAAACTGAAGAAGGAAAAGTACATTGACACTAAACCCTGTTGTAAATATTACTTGTAGTAATAAAAGGTTTTTTAAAATAATTTTAATAAGAATAGATATACACAACACAAATAGGTCATATAAGTGCCATGCTTAGGAGTGTTACTAGAGAGTCACATGCAAAAAAAGGAGAGATAGGGACGATAGACATTTGATAGGAAAGAAGAAGTAAAAAGTGATTATGTTGTAACAATCAAGCAAACAAAACTGATGGTGTATAACACCAGAGATCTGTCTCACCTTGTCCATGAGCAAATGCTGGGACGGGGGGCACAGGGCAGCGAGCTAGAATGTCCTGACTCATTGTGTTGTAGTTGTTCTGAGAACAAAATAATTATACACTGTACAAGGTAAGTGAGAGCATACGGGTATCTATAAAGCATACTGGGGAGAAAAAGGTGGAACCAGAATGATAAAAAATAAGCTGAATGCTTCTGAAATCTATGATCACAGGAAGATTGCGGGTCGCACAGGAGATGATTTTAAAACCAGACTCTAGATAAATAATATCAATTGGATCAATAACAACAAAAACAGCTTGAACATAAAACAAATTCCCCATCCTTCAAAAAAAAAAAAAAAAAAACTAAAACATACAAGAAATCAACTCCAAAAACATCATCCTGAGTTCTGCCTTCTCCTTCACCCTCCTCCTCCCACCCATCCTCTTTCCGTACCTGCGTGAGTGCGATGAGAGCCAGCACCAGCCACAGCTCTTGTTTCACCAACTGGCCAGGACTAGATGTGTTGCACAGCGACCAAATCTGTGCCAGTTTCTCTCTCTGCAACCCACTCAGCAGAAGTATCGGGTACAAGCGTTCTGTTGAGATCTTTCCTTCGCTGTAAGGAAGCAGATGACACATAGGTCAATATTTCTAAAAGCAAATGCTCACACACAGGAGAAGTGTTCAAAGCACTTTGTTTTCAGGGAAAATTTTCTGCGGGGAGAGAGAGACACACAGACAGACACAGAGAGACAGAGAGAGAAAGAGAGACTGAGAGACAGAGAAAGAGACAGAGACAAACAGACAGAGACGAGCACCTGATTCCATTATGTCGTGACACATATAATACTTCTGAGCAAACAATTTCTGCCTTATACCTTTATATATATATAGGGTAATAATGCATAAAATGTCATTCATCTTTAACAGCATTCATAATACACACTTTACACACTCTCTCCTCCATTGGCAGTCTTATTCTTCTTCAAATACCAAACTCTAAAACTGACCAATTTCATATTAGTTATGCAATCTAAGTCTGTTTTTAAAAAAACAAAAAAACAATGTGTTTATATTTCTATAAAGTTTGAAACCAAAACAAGTCCCCAAACATGTTCTCCAGTCGCGAAGAACAATGTCAAGAAATTGTAATTTAAATTCTGCAGCAAACTAATTTTCATTTCCAATTAGACCTTAAGGGGGTGGGGGCTACACCCCCAAAATCAAAATTCGGCTCAAAATCATGGAATTTGAGTTGTAGGCATTTTTAGCTTCCTCAGCCTCTCCTACAACTATTTCATGTAATCAGAACCCCCAAAAACCGTATTTTTTCCCATACCGGGCATGTTTGTAACCGCCATTTCCTCATAAAGTCAGTATTTTATTTTTCTTTATCGGACGTTTTCTCAAAATGTGACTTTTCTCTATACTTTTTTGAATAACTCCACCATTTTTCATCCAATCTTCATAAAATTTTCACAGAATGAAGAGAAGAGGTAATACAAAAAATTTGTCTGTTGAATTTTTGATATCTGGAATAGATTTTTGTTGGTGGTGTCTGGAGTGTGGATTTTCACGGATTTTTCGCAAACTTGAATGCTACCTCAGTAAAAAATTCATTAAAAATTTTCTAATTCGATTAGGAAAAAAACAACAAACAAATTTTTAGATCTAATGTTTGTGAACACGCATGCAAAAAAACAATCAATTTCCATGAGCGACAAGTGTGGTATTCATTACGTAAGACATGTCAATAAAATCCAATATGGTGGCGTATCCATGGAAACGAAACTTTTTTCTCAAATTTGATTGCGGATTTTAAGACTCCTTACTATGCTTCTTATATGTGTGAAATTTGGTAAAATTCGGTCCAGTAATAAGTGAGATAGCCTCCAGGTGTAGCCCCTCCCTTAATAACAACAAGACCAAAAACTGACTGACACAATAGTTATATTTCATAAATAGATGACAAATTTAAAGTTCCCTCTCTCGGATTGCTATTCTTATATTTCCAAAAGTCTTTTGGAAATCAACAATCATTCATTTGACCGATAGAGAGAGAAAGAGAACACAGACAGACAGACAGACAGACAGCAAAAGACAGAGAAGCAGACTAAGAAGGAAAGGTTACTAGACAACGCGTATGGATGACTTACACAAGCGAAGCCTCCCACACGTGCTTATATACTGGAGGCATCTGATCCTCGCTGTATGAACACCACTCGGGTAACGCCTTGGCCGGGCGGCTGCTCTGCTCTGGCGTCAGGTCAGGTGGGTGACTAGTGGGCGACGGCACGCCCATCATTACAGGTAAGGAGGGGGGACTGGAGGCAACATCAGCATATGCTGGAGGGGGGCCAGTGGGAGGCCCCGGCACAACACCGCCTGAAGAAAATAATGAGAGGGGCTAGCCACATATCCACACTTGAAAGCAGAATAATTTAAGTGCCAGAGTTGTCCGAAAGTAGAAAAATAAACAAAAATGTGATAAATTAAATATTACAGTGAGTTCTATAAACTTTAATGCTGCATCTGTCATTTAAAATTTAAATAACAAGAAGCATTCAAAAGAATGATCCTTTTACAAATCGTAAGCAGCCTGAATTTTCAATAGCAATTTTCTAAAAATAACAGTAACTGAACTTAACACAATTTTGTTTTCATGGATCCATACATAGTGTAATGATTTGCCTCTTCATATTGCATATAAAGGATGCGAGTTTGATCTCAGCATGGGGAAGGTATTTTCTTAAAAATCTCCTCAAAGAAGAGAAACATCCCACCCAGCTCCTTAAAACCTCAACAGACAGAGTCAAAGCAATTGGCCACCTAAAAGACCCAAATTTCAGCAATGAGGCTGTAAAAATTTCCAAATATTTACAATTATTAATTCACACAATGCGTCATAACACAGACTAAAAGCTGAGGTGCACAGTGCAGTGTACATTAGGGAGAGGAAATAACCTCACACACACACACACACACACACACACACACACACACACACACACACACACAAACCCACGCGCACAATTTTGACTGTAGGACATTAAAAAAACACCTTGAAAAGCAGGTGTCATGCCTGGCGGCATCATCCCCGCCGCGAGCTGCTGTTGTGTATACACAGTGTGAGGTGGGAGGGGCTGGGCAGCAGGAGGGGGCATGGCTGAGGGAGAAAAGGATGATAATGCTGCGCCGTCATTTACAGTCAGTCTAAACAATATCAGCACTGCAGTAAACTGAAAAAAAAAGCTCTTTTTTTTTTTCACAGCAGTATTAAGATAAAGAGGCTTTTTGTCAGCGTAACCATTTTAAAAAAGGCCTTCTTCCAAAATTTGAATTCTAATTTATTCAAAAAACTACTCACAGTTTCACTTTGAATTTCCCACACAAGTAGGGTACCTGATCAGGATTTCGATTTAGCAAATTAAAAAATTTGGTGGCTAAAATGAAAACAGGCGTTTTTTCAGCTTACAGCTGAGAAATAACAGCTACCTTTCATCATATACAGAATGGGATTTGTTCTTGTTTTAGTAAGAATTTTACAGCACTTGCAACACGATTAGGTCATATAAGTGCTGAAAATTAGAGGCGTTATTACAGAGTAACAAACACGAAAAAGAAAGAGGAGAGATAAGGATGATAGATGTTTAATAAGAAAAAAGGAGCAAACTACACGAGAGCACCCGTCGACCACCCACAAAATTGGAAAACAGTAAGGCTAAAAAGTAGATGAAGTTGACCTGACCAGAAAACCAAGACATCACATGGGAGGAATAAGAAGAAGTGGTTGGAACAGAGCACACTCAAATGCCAATCAACTATCCGCACAGATAGAGAGAGACCATTTGACTTCAGCTCACAAGAGGAAATCCACAATGCAAATTCTTTATCAGACAAAAAAAAAATCTTTTGTCAACATCAAAGCAGATAAAAATAAGCAGGAAGAAAGGGAGGGAGGAGAGGGAAGTACGCAAGCAGGCAAAAAGGATGGAAGAAAAAAGAAGGGAGATGAAAGAACAAAGTAAACATGAAATGAGGGAGGAAGAGAAAATGACAGGGAATTTTTTTAAAAGAAGGAAAGAAAGAAGAAAGGATGGAAGAAAGGAAGGAAGGAAGAAAGAAAATGAGGAAG